TGTTCAGTGGGTCGCCGTGTGCTTTCCTCTTTTTTAGGTGAGAGGCTCCTGAGCCTCCCCCTTGCACAGCACTGTCAGTTTTTGCTCCAAGCAGCCATTCAAAATATGCTGCCCAGTGCCGAGTGTCAGATTGAGGTGGGATGGGATGGAGCTACGGCCTCGAGGGAGCTCCATCCACACATGCCTTGCTTACTGCTCCCTCACCTGTCCTGTAGAGGTGACTGGACCGGGGTGACCTCACATTCTGGCTTCCGGCACCTCTACAGGGTGCGCAATGGAGGTCGTACAAGCAATGCACGCATGGATGGAGCTCCGTCACAGCACAGCAGCCTAGAACGTACAGAAATTCAATATAGAAATACAGATTTATTTTTCGTTTTTGACCATAGACACCCTTTAAGAAGTGTTTTACATAGCTGAACATTTTGTACTTGTTGCACATTTTTATATTGCTGCGAAGACGCTTCTGATAGCTCACATTAAGCTTCCATGACCTACTTTACTGCCAGAATGATTACTTGTAACGGTTGTTCTACATCCACATATACTTAGATTGAACAACGGCAGCGTAACCAAATATTTACTCTTCCAGTGTTTGCAGCAAGCACAGGCATGATCTGCTGTTTATCACACATTATGGGCCTGTTTGTAAAGCTCGCCAAAGTGATCACTTGTCATTTTACACCAGTTTGTAGCTGAATTCTGCTGCTTTTCCTCTGATTCAGAGGACGCCAACCTTTGGCCCCTCAGCTGCTGAGGAACTGCAAGTCTGACAGCCAAAGGCATGAATGGATTTGTAGTTTTATCACAGCTGGGGGGCAAAGTTTGCTTACCTCTGCTCTACTTTATTGAATGGACTGAAGCTTGTGCCTTTTTCCTCTAGGTCAGGGTTAGGCAAACTCCGGCCCTCCAGCTGTGGTGAAACATCATACATCTGACCCTGGAAGTCATGTCTGTGGTCGTCAGTCTTGCACTGCCATATGAGACTTGTAATTCTATAACAGCTGGAGGGCTCAAGTTTGTCAACCCCTACTCTAGTTTATAGAATGGAAGGAAGGGGGTGTGGGCTATAGTTTATAGTATGGAAGGAAGGGCGTGTGGGGGTTTCCTCTAGTTTATAGAATGGAAGGAAGGGGGTGTGGGGGGTTCTTCTAGTTTATAGAATGGAAGGCGGTGTGGGGCGTTCTTCTAGTTTATAAAATAGAAGGAAGGGGTTGTGGGGGTTTCCTCTAGTTTATAGAATGGAAGGAAGGGGGTGTGGGGGGTTCTTCTAGTTTATAGAATGGAAGGAAGGGGATTTCCTCTAGTTTATAGAATGGAGGAAAGGGGGTGTGGGGGTTTCTTCTGGGTTTAGAATGGAAGGAAGGTTGTGTCTGCTTTTGTTTTTTTTTTCTATATAGAATGGAAGGTTGCGAGGTGAAATACAGCTTAAAGAAAACATTGTAGTGAAAAGTAGACGCATGTAAATAAAATAAAAAAATCACCTTGATGAAAGTTTCTTCTACGTTTTCTCTCCACTGAAGATGATGGGATATGCTGGGTTTAAGTCAATCTGTAAAATGTATTTTATTGGGCTTAATTTGATTTGGATTACTGTAAAATGAGACCACAGCCAAAGGCTCAGGGGCCGTACACTGCTGCTATCATAAATTTCTCCAATAGTGTTGTGTGACTTCTCAGTTCCAGCTGGATTGCCCTCCGACTTCTAACATACTGTATTTTTGCGTGTATAAGACTATACTTTTTCTTAAAAATATTTACCTAAAAATGGAGGGGCGTCTTATACACGGGGGGCCGAGAGGAGAACCGCGGTTGCGAAACTGCTGATACCTCTGCAAACTAGCCTCACGAGTGAAACTTCCGATTGCAGAGACAAGCTAACAGGTTTCCTCCAATCATGAGCCTTATGTACCCGACGTCAGCTGATGCTGCGGAGCGCGTGTAGCCAGTGCCCAGATGCAACAAGGAGCCCATAAAAATGGCAGAAAACAAAAAAAATACCGGTACCAGTAAGCGGCTGTCTTACTCTGCAAAATTTAAACTGGATGTAATCAGTTATGCAAAAAAGCATGGAAAATATTGATTTCTGAATTTTGGGTAAGAAAAGTGGGGGGCGTCCTATACACGGGGGCGTCTTATTGACGGAAAAATACGGTATATCCAAGTTTATGACAAGGACTTCCCAGGACCTGCTGCAGTGATTACAAAGGTCTGAGTCCTACCTGTAGAACTTTCCATTTGCAGTGGGGCCATTGCAACATTGCTGTGCAGCTTATGGAGAAGAATAAAGAACTCTAGCACTGTTCTCAATACTAGGCTCTGTATGGGGAAAAGTCCACCTGAAATACCAGTTTTGGGTCAGATGTATACCCTAAATTGAGTGACTTAGGGTGCTAAAGTACCGGGTGACAATACAGAGAACATTTGGGTGACGCGGGCAGTGCATTCCCACCCTAAAACAAGTGTCGTAACAAGAACCTTCATGGCATTCTTAATTCATTCACTCCAGGTTGTAGAGAATGTAACCCTTGCAGTGGGGCTACCCCGTATTTGCAAGGGTTAACTACTCATTTTTCTCTAGAGGCTCAAACGAAGAAGAAATACCCAATCCTCAAACCCACCTGGCTGCTAGACAGTTCCCTGCAGTACAGCCTCTTCTGCTGTGGGCTCCGGCTATCTTAAGACCTATTGACGTCAACACGTCTAATACAGTCCATTCACTTGTATTTAAACATGAGGACGCAAAGGGAGAGGTGAGTGGTTACTGCCGCAGGACTGAGGGGCCCAGACCAACTAATCGATAATGAGAATCGTTGTCAACTATTTTCATCATCAATTAGTGGAATGCAGCCCTACATATTATCCCCATAGCTGGAAGTACAGGACAGGGAAGATATGTACAAGCACATTGTAGACTGACTTTTTAAAATGCACCACACAGGTATTTATGCATTTTGGTTCGAGGTATTCGGCTATTTTCAGTTTTCTTTTTGCCTTTTGTATTGTTGGTTTCTTCAAAACAACAAAACCGGCGAATGAATAGCCCCAACTTACTGTTTAATTGTCAACTGGAGCAGGCAGTGATCATGGAGTCTTTGGTCACCTTTAGTGTGAGTGTCCTTGGTTGACCACTGCAAGGTGTTGGGGGAACTATAATGCTTCTTTTATACTATGCAGAAGTACCTTGCCAAGATTTCACCAATAGTTGTAAATGTGTGGAACAAGAACCCCATGTTTTTAATACGAGCTTTGCGCACACTTTCAACCCCTTTAAAAATGACCACATCGACTTGGCTGTTCAGCTGCTAAGCCCATGTGAAGGACATCTACCAGCACAGCAGAGCACATGATTACTGCTAATGGATTTCCTCTCTTGTTTGCCATCTTGCACTTGTCTTTAGGGATTCCAGCTTATTACTTTCGGTTGCACCAGTGCATGATGAAATGGCAGGAAAGTTGGGATACATATTTTCATAAACAACCAGTACAATGGCTCTGTAACAATTAGAGCGCTGTATATAGATGTTTGTCTTCCCATTATAATATCCTCTGGCGGCCATCTACCTTGTTGGGTTGACATTATTTTTTTTGTATGCAGTCATTGTATGTTGTCGGGTTTTATTGACAGGAGTGTGAACTAGGGATAAATGCATTCAGGTTAAAACTTGTGCGCATTTTCCGTTTCTCACTATATGGTCTTTTGTGTATCACTTGACATTAAATCCTCAAATAATCTCTGAATTGGTGCTGACACTGTCCTTCTTTCTGGAGGGGGGCTACTTTTGTTCCCCATGGTCCCTGTGTGTGTTGTAGTCACTACTCCAAGCTCGCTCCCATGATGGACTACAATCTCAGTACAAATTAGTAAACTATTGTAGTCCAAAACAAGTGTGAGCTTGGATCGGTGATTACTTTACAACACACACAGGACCATGGGGAACAAAAGTAGCCCCCCTCCAGAAGGAAGGACAGTGTCCGCACCAATTCAGAGATGATTGGAGGATCTAAAGCTGAGTGATACACAAATAAGTTACATTATTGTTAATAGTTGGGGTACTTGAATGTATTTTTTTTAAGATTTAAAGAACTATGGGGTTAAGGCTTTTCCCCATAGTTCTCAGGGTAACGGGAGGACACAAACTAGCGTCCTCCTGTCACCCTAAGCTCAGTATACCGCGAGCTACAGCTTGCGGAATACTGAGACGCCACAGTATACCGCGAGCTAATGCTCGCGGTATACTGAGACGCCGCAGCTGAAGCTGATCCCGACAATTATGTCTGGATCCGCCCAGCTGCGTGAGTGACAGCTGGCTCTGCCTATCTAGAGGCAGAGCCCGCTGTACCCTCCCCTGTCCGATCCGCCAGTCAGCGCTGGCGGGGAGGGGGGATTTCAGCCCCTCCCCTGTCACGGCAGAGGGCTGTGACAGGATCGAGAGGTGAGCGAACGCCGTTGTGTTCGCTCACCTCCCGATCTACTCAGCCGTGGCGGGGAGGGGGGATTTCGGCCCCTCCCCTGTCACGGCAGAGGGCTGTGACAGGATCGAGAGGTGAGCGAACGCCGTTGTGTTCGCTCACCTCCCGATCTACTCAGCCGACCTGTGACAGTCTCATTTTCACAGGTCAGCTAGAACTATGAGGTGAGTGAAAAGCTGGGTGTCGCATCATCTACAGAATGAGCCTCTATGTCGCAGGGTTTAACATTTTATCTTTGTCCAGGAGAGGTGTACAGTATATAGTCTCTTCTTTGCAGGTAGATGTCTGTTTTCCTGACATGGTTTTTCTAAATAGTTATCTAAAAAAGAAATGTCTATATTTTTGTTATTCACGATTGTGCCTCTACGTTTTCTTTTCATTTAATTGTTCTGTAGCCACAGTTTATAATGTTGGGGGGTTTTATGTCATTTTCAGGCCTAAAATGTGGAATATAACATGGGTGCAAAAAATGAAAAAAGGGCCTCAGTCATGAAGGGGTTAAAGTAGGATTGATTTTCCTTTTACAGATGAAGATGGCATTGACAGAAATCATCCAGCTGGCCACTCTGGACTCTGACCCCTGGATTCTTATGGTGGCAGACATCCTGAAATCCTTCCCAGACACAGGCTCACTAAACCTTGATCTTGAGGAACAGAATCCTAATGTGCAGGATATTTTGGGGGAGCTCAGAGAGAAAGGTGATGCAGTTGGGTTACTTTCTACTTTTGTCTGACAGATCGGTTTCTGTTTTTTTCCTGAAAGGTAACTGTCTTTGTTATTTATCCAGTAAGTGAATGTGAGGCCTCTGCCATGCTGCCGCTTGAGTGCCAGTACCTGAACAAGAATGCCCTCACCATGCTGGCCGGTCCGCTGACTCCTCCTGTCAAACATTTCCAGCTAAAGAGAAAACCAAAAAGTGCCACACTCAGAGCAGAGCTTTTACAGAAGTGTAAGTTGAATCCATGGGGGTGATTTACTAACCTAAACACACGCACGCACCAGGTGCGTGTGATTTTCACACAGCAAAACGTATTTATCAACCAAAAAGTATCAAAAGCATATTTCCACTAATGCCATGTATGGAAAAATCATGCACATGATTCATATATAATGCTGCTTCACAGTTTAGACAAAAATGGTTAGCTCATGCATTTACATTCCTTGCATTCATCAACGCAAGCAACACAACATAGAGCTAATTTACCCAACATCACCTTGGAATTCCTTCAGGGCTTTGCACAACACACCTGCTGGGTGTGTACACACTACAAAGGTGTTTAGATTCCACCCATAGATCATGCTGGGAGGGAACACACTACAGAGGTGTATACATGTTCGTGGTGTGTTTATAAGGTTAGTAAATCAACCCCCATGTGTATGTATTGTGTGTAATCCCAGGCTTTAGATTTGGATAGGTTTGGGATTTCTTTTTGCAGTTTGCTTCAAGCATTTATGTGATCGGTGAAACTGCTATAGCATTCCTAGTCCACTGAATTCACTTGGTAATGATTTAGAAAGATTTGTCAGTAAACAAGAAAAACGGGCAGAAGATTGAACTGACAAATCATTACACCGCACACTTTAAAACGCAGTTTAAAATCATTAGGTTTCCTAACCTGTCCAGCTTTCTTCTTTGCTTTTTTGTTTTTTTTTTACTTTGAAAATATTTCCTCATGCTTCTGGGGGGTTTATGTTTTGAAGGTTGTGGTTGTCTCCATTGCCAGGAAGTTGAGTCCTTGGTAAGGAAGTGAAATCAAAATCAGATGAGTGCACAGAGGAGATCGTCCTGGCTAATAAAGCGCACAGCAGACAACTTTTAGCTTTTGCAGAACCTTTTAGGGCTAGTTCACACCAAGTGCGTTCCAGGAGCAGGGCAGTTACAGACCGGATCCAAACCTGCGTCCAATGTATTCCAATGGTATTTTGGGCTCTAGTTCACACCGCAGCCTTCAGTTCCAGAGCATGTAAAAAAACTGCAGCATGCCCTATTTACCTGCTCTGGAACGCATGCAAACGCATTGAAAGCCCATTTTAAACTACCAAAAACGGCAAAAAGTGCAGTATAACTCACTGCACTGCGTGTGCAGAAACTCCTGCAGATCTGGTCTTCATTTGGTGTTAACAAGCCCTTAAAAGTTTTAGATGACTGAAACACTCCCTTTTATCAGGCACTTTGCTGCCATGGATGTAGCATGCATTCTAAAGGTCATACTTCAGCTTACATCAGAGGCTTTTTAGACAGTGTCTAGTGTCATGGTAGGTTTTTTATTTTGCCTCCCCCAGCAAATGTGAATTTCCTCCATAATTTGCTCTGCACTTCCACACTGGGCTTAGATAGATTTGCACTGTCCGTGTTGCCTAAAATGCAAGGGAGTGCGTATTGAAACTAAACCATATGATCATTTGGCAGCAATTACCTCTCCAAGGAATGTTGCAGATACATGGCTTCATCCTGAAAGCCTGTCTTCTAACAATTCTGTCGAGGAAGACAGACCATTGTACTTGAAAATGTTTGTTTTGCTTTTTTAGCTACAGAAACTGCACAGCAACTTAAGAAGACTGCCGGGGTTCCATTTCATGCTAAAGGAAGAGGCCTCGTCAAAAAGTTGGACACAACTAGTGAGTATATTATGATATTAAATCAGATCGAGGTGGTAGATCAGTGAAGGGAGGGCTGTATATATAATTCAAAGTGAAGATACTTAAAAAGCTTTAAATGGCCTGGATGGGAAGGGGGTTTAACACCGCGGATGTCAACTGGTTAAAATCATAATTCCAAACATGGCAGCTTCATTTTAAATTGCCAAAAATGTCTCCAGTGGTTTTGTGACTGCGTCTATATCTTCTGTGTCCCAGGGTGCAAGGATTTGAGGGTGGATACTAAGGATGCACCGATACCAATGCTAGTATCGGTGCCTCTATCTTCCTGATTAGCCAGAAAGCTGGCTCCATGCTTCCTAGTCACCTGGTGACAAGGGAGCATGGAGACTGCTTCCCAGCTAATCAAGAAGCCGGGTGGCGAGTCATTACACGCCGCCTGACATCCTTAATGCGACTTCCGGTATCGGTGCATCCCTAGTGGATACACCTAATAAAACGCTGCTGCTTTGGCTGTGTGCATTATTAACAGTGAGGCTCCCTCTGGAAGCTTCTGCCAATTAACACAGCGTGGAGGGGACATGGCAGATAAATGGACCATGGGATATACTTGCACGGTGTCCTGTGTCTCCAAGCAGAAAATATAGATATGCAAACTGACCATGCCAGCACAGATCAGCTTCCTTTTTGGAGCGGATTTTGCCGCGATTCCAGCTTGCTCAATGCAAGCATTTGCGCAAAATGCAAATCGCGCAACAAACGCGTGATTTGCGAATCGCGCAGTGTGAATGGGGCCTGAATATTTGTCTACAACCAGTCATACGAATTAAATATCCCCCTTGAATAAAACTGCCATTTTGTAAACTAGTGGTTTGTTTTTTGTTTTGTATAGCTCCACTCAAAGGTATACCAAAGCAGGCACCCTTTAGAAGTCCTACAACCCCCAGTGTGTTCAGTCCTACTGCCAACAGAACCCCCATAGCACCTTCCAGGACGCCCATCCGCCGAGAGAGGGGAGTAAAGGTAGGTGAATGTCCTGAATGAATAACGTGTTCCCCATTATGGGATAGAGAGGCAGTAGTTTACTTTACATGACCTGAATGGGCTTCTCCGTCCTGCTGCCAGCTACTTTACAGCAAGTACAAGTGGTACATCAGAAATTAATGCACGTGTTCGCTTGCAGCTCTTGGATATATCTGAATTGGATATGGTGGGAGCAGGACGAGAGGCCAAGAGAAGAAGGAAGACTGTTGGTGAGTACTAACTGCATTATTGCTGCTCCAAAATTTTAGATGTTACCCATGGGGCTCATTGGGTTTGGCCCTGAGGTATCTTGTGATTGAAGAATGTGTAATTTCATGTAAATAAAAGCTTGTGCCTAAGTGTTGGTGGCATTATGGTGGCAGCTGCCAAAGAAGAGCTGCCACTTTTGAAATGCTCTATTATCTTTTTTTTTTTTTTTTCTTTTTGCTGGAGTTCTGTTTTGTGGTGTACCTTAGTAGGGTAGATGCCTTTTTTATGGTGCTGTAGTGGTGGTCACGTGAATGCTCCGTTCCTCTACGGCAGGGGTAGCCAAACTCCGGCCCTCCAGCTGTGGTGAAACTACAAATCCCATGATGCATCTCTTTCCGGGAGTCATGTCTGTGAGAGTCTTGCAATGCCTCATGGGATTTGTAGTTCCACCACAGCTGGAGGGCTGGAGTTTGGCTACCCCTGCTCTACGGGATGGAGACTGCAAGTTATTTTGTCGTCCAGGAGTCGCTGTCAGGAGGACTGGGTGGGGGGATTGACAGCTGTGATCCGACTTTGGGACTACAGACACCATTGGCACGGCATCCTGTACCTCCCAATTCAGAAGAAAAGAAGCAAACTGACTGCTCTAGGACTGATGTGCTTAATGTGGTCAGTAACACAGGAAGGTGTTATTTGCTGAGGGTATGGGCAGGATTAGCAGGTATGTTATAGTTACTGCACATAATTTTAGTATTTCTTGGGGGAAAGAGCCTACTGAATTATTAAGGAGGTTTTAAAGTTGAGGGGTAATATTCACTTTAAGCTTACGATTTAAGAGAGCCGAGTAGAGATTGTTGGGTTCTGTTACTCGGGTCCCTGTTGGTGAGAATTGCTCTCTTCCTTTCCTGCAATGGAAGGTCAGTGGATGTCTCCACAATGTAGACAGCATTTCTCATTTAATTTTTTTCCTCTCTTTTTTTCATACCAGTGGTGTGTTTGCTGCTTGGGTCTTCGTGTATCCTTCTTTCTCGTAAATTGTAAAAAAAAATTCTCATTTTCTTTATCAACAGAAACTGACGTGGCAGAAAAGCCTCCGAAAGAAGAAACTGTTGTGGAAAGCGCCACCCCAGATTACGCTGCGGGTCTGGTGTCTACACAGGTACGTTGGTATCTCTTATTGCAATATCATTGTGGTAAATGAAGATGAGTGGTGTGCTTGCAAGTTGTCAGGTAATTTTTAAGGATGTTGCTGGCCCTGGATTAGCTTCTACATTAAGCTAGAAGGGTATTTGGGTAAAGGATGATGAAATATATACTAAATTTATTGCATATTCTTTGCAGAAACTTGGCACGCTGAACAATGAAAGTGCCCTGCCATCTACCAGTTACTTGCCAGCCACTCCCAGCGTGGTACCATCTTCATCCTATATACCGGCATCTGAGACCCCACAAGGTACGCACATTTCTTATAGTTCTGTATATTGACTACTTTTTATAGAAAAACCAAAAACATATTGCTTAACATGTGGCATTAGAGACCGACTGTCATATTCTAGAGTAATGGAAATTGCTAATTATGGAAGATCTTGGCTGAAGAAGCCAAATTTAGGATTTTTTGTTTTTGATTTTTTTTTTATTGTTTCACAACTGTTTTTGTTCTGGAGATTTTATATGCACACTTTCTATGGTTGTAATTTTTTTACATGAGAACCAACTGGAATGTTATGCAAAGACCATACTTTTGGTGCCGAGCTAGTCAGTCAGTCAGCGTAGCAGACCCACATGTCTGTCCTCACTGATGACTGACTAGCAAGGGGAGAGTATGTCTGTACTGGGATTCCATGGCGTTTTGGGAGCAGGTAGAGCTCTGTACACTAGAAAGCACCCTTTTTAAACTAAAATGATTGTACACTGCTCTCATCTTCTGCATGTTATCTATGGCTAGCCTAAGGCTGTATTGCAATTTAGATCTCTTGCCACTGATTGTCAGTATTGACAGGCTTTTGTTTGCGTCAGAACTGCTTCTTTCCCATACAAGCCATTGGAAATGCAAATGCACCGATCCGTGAATTCTAAATGATCTTGGGTGTCACCCAGAAGAAAACATATTGCCAGCACAACTCAATCTTGTGCAGTAAATTGATGTTAATTCAGCATACTGAAGAAGTGCACCATTTTGAAACCGCTGGGGGGGGAGGGGGGTCCTTTCAAATGTGACATGATGTCACTTTGATGGAAGGATCGCTGGTGGTTTCAAAATGTTGCACTTTTTCTGTATACTAAAACAAAATGTCAGTAAATGTTATTTTTACTGCAAAAGATTGAGGTATGATGGCAACATGTTGCTGTGGTGCCATGCACTAACTTTTGAGTACATAACATTTGGGCTGTTCCAGTTTTGTGTGTCATGGTGTGGTATATGTTGCAGCTGTGTAAATACAATAGCCGGCGCTGCAGAGTCCTCTACCCGCTCTGTTGGCTTGAATGAGGGAATCGAGAAAAAGAGAATGTATGGCTAGCATTAGAGTGATGGCTGAATTGAGGAAAATGGCAGGTCTGTGATGGTGCAGCAAGGTAGACAATCATTAACATTGGTATGGCCTGACTGTGTACATTGTGGTTTCCGTAGTCCTGTTTTATTAAACAATTGGTAAACCTCCAATAAGTCTGTGGAAGTTTTGATACAATAGTCGGATGGGGAGTAAGAAGGAAGCACAGGCACTGTGTGGTTTTGAGGTTAAATTAATTTATCTTTCTATTTGCACAGCTGGGTCAGTTCGGGAAGCATTACAAACCACGAGACAAGCAGAGGAACCCGCTCCTCCTCCCAACAACACTCTTGCACAGTTCAAACAACGGACGCCAATGTATCACAGCAACCCCAATACTCCAGCCACCACCCCAACACCTGCAGCCACCCCTACCTCTCCACTGACACCTGCTGTAACTCAGGTGGCAACACCTGCGGCGCAGGCACCTCAGATCACTAACACACAGACACAGCATCCACCCAGGAAAAGTCTCTCTCTTACAGTAAGTCACCTTTTTTGTGCTGACATCACTATTTTATGTGATGACTGCAAGATCACAGAAGACTATAGTTACTATAATGGCTTGGTTATTTTTGGAACAGGGGTTTTGGCAACGCAAATTTTTGGCATACGCAACCTCTATTGCAAATGTAACCACTAAAGCTACCCTTAAGTCTGTTCTCTAAAAAGTAATATTCCAATCACAATGAATAAACCATGAGACGCATCAAGAAAGCCTCCCTGCCTGTTAAGTGCTTCAGTTTCATTCAGACATAGCTGTAGTATACCAGCTCATTTAAACCCAACTCTGGTCAAAACATGAACCCCTTCTCACCCCTTCTAACTTGTCCTGCATGGTTTTTTGTTTTGTTTTGTTTTTCTTCCTTGCCTTATAAAGCAAGTTATACTTTCCTAAATACAACATCGGGGTCCCTCACCAGTCCCATTTCCAGGTATGGGGACCTCATTTCATTTTAATTCTATTTTAGAAACTGAATTGAACACTGAATTGTCCTATGAATAGGCTCTATTTTCCGAATTCACCTGCAAGTGGCCAGAGGACTGAATCACATACAATTAGAGGTCACCTCACTTCACTCACTGCAGAGCCGCAGTGTATGGGTTTGCCGCAGCCAGGTGCTTGGTAGTCGGGAGACCTGGCAGGGAAGAATCCCAGCAAACCTGCCGGTTAAATGTCTGATTTTAATTATCTCATTTTTTTTGTTGAGCTTTTATATTTTCTGCATGGCTTTGTTTTAATTTTACATTGTATGAAAATGTTTCTGTGATTTCAAATGCAACAGATTTATGCTGCAAACTGATGTGTATTCACTGTTTATCTATACAGAGGGAACAGATGTTTGCAGCACAAGAAATGTTCAAGACTGCAAACAAGCTTACAAGGCCAGAGAAGGCTCTAATCTTGGGATTTATGGCAGGTTCAAGAGGTAGGTTCCAGAGCCTTTATATATCAAGTGTATAGCTGAGCTGTAGATCATACTGCAGGAAACTGCTCAATCCCTGTTTAGGTATCTTGGATGGCTATTGCCCTCCCCAGTCCATTGAGAGCATCTACACAGCCAGTAAAGGTGCTCTCATTGGACAAGAAGAATAAAGCTAGAGGGGGGGGAGGGGCAGAGCTTCGGAGACTGTGCTTAGCCCTGAGACTGTTATGGACTGTGTTCCAAATTTAGATCGTATCAAGGCTCCGTACTTATATCTGCCGCCTGGCCGGATTCAATAGAGTATACTCTCGGAGATAAAATGAAATCACGCCAACTCAGTCGGTGTTAAAATCACTTCTGCTTTATTGTTCTCCTTTTTAGGGTTTTTATTTAACAGGTGAACGTGTATATTTGAGCGTAGCATTGCAGAAAAGTATTTTAGTTTATATATTCTAGCTTATCATTGGTTAGATCCATTTTTGCATAACTTCCTGCCAAGATGTTTATAGATGTTTATATCTTTCGTCTTGGGTGCGTTGTCTGAAGAGGAGGCGCCAACTTGGTTCCTATTTCTACTGCGTACTTCGGATCTGGGGGGGGGGGGGCACCAATTTCTGAGCAAGGTTTTGAGGAAGGCAAACGAGCAAAAAGCAAATTAACATATATATTACAATTGATCTATTGAGATAGGCATTTTGTCATAATCATGCTTAACCACATCCATTACAAGACTAACAGCCATTAAGGTGACCTTCTATGCCTTAGTTTCCTAGTTCATTCATTTCACTTTTCTACTTGAATCTGTGAAAAATTGAGCCTTGTGTTTTTCAAATGGATTTTTTTGAGGATGAAAAGTATTATTGAATACAAAAAGAAATCCAATCATAATTTTGATCAAAGTTGAATTGGCTTAAAAAAAATAACTAAAACTGTGGCAAATAGCATCTAAATAATCAAGTGTGTGTGTGTATGCACACATATATAATGTGTGTGTGATTATACATTGAT